TAGGTGTAAGACTTTAACTGGTAACACGAGGTTCATTTCTGAACTTGTTTTGGTGTGTTACTGTATCAGGAAACAATGGCTGTTGTTGTTTCAAAATGGCATTTCTGTAAAAGAATGAGTGGCTTTTAAACTCCTGAGCAGCTCTGTAAGATGGCTTGAGTGGCTGGAAGACTCTGGCTTGCCTATTCATACTACCTTCATCTAGCTCAGGAGTACCTACTGTGGTGCACTCCAGATGTCATTGGACTATAGCTCACACCATTTTTGACCTTTGGCCATGCTGGCTGGGGCTGATGGGAGCTGATAGTCTGTAACAACTTCTGAAGGGCACCATGTTGGCTATGTCGGATATGGTCATTAGTAGGAGGTGGCTGAGGAGGTAAGGCACCTCCATTCCTCACCTCTGAAGTAGCAAGACAGGGCAGAGAAAGAGGAAGCTGCAATTAGCCTTCCGCATCTCAAGCCTTTAGGTGGACAAGACTGACCTCCAGTGGAGATGTGTGAGGCTGTGGGTGGCAAACCCAACTGAAACAGCTCAAGCATTCAGATAGGCATCTACATTACTCATGAGTTGGAAGGTCCCTCAAAAGTGGCCAGCCAGCCTCTGTTTGCCAGTTTTGAAATTTATGACAACTTCTGCAGAGACAGGAAAGAGTCATGTGGGAGATATTGAGTGCCATAACTGCCCCTTTCTCAAATGCTTTTAATCCCTTTTCAGCATCACCACAGCTACAGGAAAGATGGGCTGTTGTGGAAGTGGTATGAGGAAGCATGACGAAAGAACATGGCATGAAACTCGTAGACATGCAGCGTGTGTGCCAAAGCAGCCCAGAGACCATCATAGTGGTGGTGGCTGCTGCTGCTGCTGCAAACCACGACCTGCCCACCATGAGTTGGAGCATTCTGGACCTTCTCCAGCAAGGCAGAATTACCCTGTTCAACCTTACCCTTCAGCACCCATGCATTATAAACACCATGACATGTATTCCCCAGAATCTGTTCATACCAAAGGCTGAATAAACTACCATTTCAAGCACTGCAGCACCCCAGCACCATAAATTCAAAGACTTCAATTCAAAACTCCAGGATTTAACATCTTCTGTTAAAACGAAAAATAACAAAAACCATGCACTCCACAAATTTTAAATTTCTCATTTGTCATGAAGTCTGAAGTTGACTGTCAAGGTCTGGATTTTTCAGCCATTGAAATACCACAAGCGGATCCTTTGGGAGAAAGGGCAGAACATAAATCTAATAAATTACAACAATTAGATCAACAGGAATGCCAGAAATAATACCAATAATTATAGTAAAAATATGGATGTGAATGTTAATAATGCTATCATTGAAATGACAGCTGAATGGATAATGAGCTGATTTAGCTGATGTGGTTTGGTTTGTGGTGAAATGCTCTCTCTCTCTCTGTGTGTGTGTGTGTGTGTGTGTATGTGTGTGTGTGTGTGTTTAACTGGTATGGCCAATGCACTGTGCAAATCAAGCTAATTAGGCATCACTGAAGGAAGCCACCTTCTATTGAATCAGCTCATTGGATTGCCTGGCTTAGCATTGTCTTACACTGACTCCGATTCCCCTCTTGGAGTGGTTGAACAATCAATCCCTCTTCCCAGGAAACTCTGGGAATCCCACCTCTGTGAAAGATGGGGGAATCTGCAGTCCTCCACATGTTGTCAGACTCCAACTCCCATCGGCCTCCAGTAGTAGTAGCCACTCTGGGGAGGCACTCTGGGCAACAAAATATTAAAATACTATAGTCCTTCAGATATTAAAAGCTTCCCTAAACAGGGCTGCCTTCAGATGTCTTCTAAAAGTCTGGTAGTTGTTTTTTCCTTTGACATCTGATGGGAGGGTGCATTACACAGGGCGGATGCCACTACCGAGAAGGCCCTCTGCCTGGTTCCCTGCAACCTCACTTCTTGTAGTGAGAGAACCGCCAGAAGGTCCTTGGTGCTGGACCTCAGTGTCTGGGCAGAACGATGGGGGTGGAGATGCTCCTTCAGGTATATTGGACCAAGGCCATTTAGGGCTTTAAAGGTCAGCACCAACACTTTGAATTGTGCTCAGAAATGTACTCGGAACCAATGTAGGTCTTTCAAGACCAGTGTTATGTGGTCTTGGCGGCCGCTCCCAGTCACCAGTCTAGCTGCTGCATTCTGGATTAGTTGTCGTTTCCGGGTCACCTTCAAAGGTAGCCCCACATAGAGTGCATTGCAGTAGTCCAAGCGGGAGATAACTAGAGCATGCACCACTCTGGCAAGACAGTCCACAGGCAGGTAGGGTCTCAGCCTGCGTACCAGATGGAGCTGGTAGACAGCTGCTCTGGACACAGAATAGACCTGTGCCTCCATGGACAGCTGTGAGTCCAGAATGACTCCCAGGCTGCACACCTGGTCCTTCAGGGGCACAGTTACCCCATTCAGGACCAGGGAGTCCTCCACACCTGCCCACCTCCTGTCCCCCCAAAACAGTACTTCTGACTTGTTGGGATTCAACCTCCAGGTCTAATGGTCAAGGATAATGGGAACTAGAGCCTAGAAGCATCTGGGAGGACCATATATTGCCCATCCATGGTGTACATCTGAGGCAGGGATGGGAAGCCTGTGGTCCTCTAATGCTTGTTTGACTGCAACTCCTGGTAGCCCTAGCAGCAACATTGGATGACGGTAGCTCTGCAGCTCATGGGTCATATCTGGAAATTTATGGTTCACAATACCTCCACCCCTCTGTCACCAATGCCATCCAATAGACCTCTTATAAAGATTATTAACTCCCACGGATCCACCAATCTGAATCCATTTCAGAGATCCTCGTGAAGAGGGATCTATGGTTAAAGAACTCTGGAAATTCAGCTCTGTTGAGAAGGATAGGGAAGTCTCCTGACAACTCTCAATAACCTTAACAAACTAGAGTTCCCAGGATTCTTTGGGGGAAGCCATGTCAGTTTGAAGTGCTAGGCTACTGTATGGTGCACATATGGCCAGAATTTCTAAACACCTTTCATTTGTTTTCCTGCGTGCAACTAATTATACAAATCTAATTTGGATATTGTGTAGGGATAGGATTTCTAGCAACACTGATCAGGAGAATGCAGAAGAATGGATGAAGTGAGTATATCTGAATAGTGGGGCAAGACACCATTTGGTAAATGAAGAAGGAGGAGGAGGAGGAGAAGGAGGAGGAGGAGGAGGGAGTTTGGATTTGATATCCCACTTTATCACTACCTGAAGGAATCTCAAAGCGGCTAACATTCTCCTTTCCCTTCCTCCCCCACAACAAACACTCTGTGCAGTGAGTGAGGCTAAGAGACTTCAGAGAAGTGTGACTTGCCCAAGGTCACCCAACAGCTGCATGCGGAGGAGCGGGGACGAGAACCTGGTTCACCAGATTACAAGTCTACCGCTCTTAACCACTACACCACACTGGCTCTCTGCTGTCTACATTCACACTGGTTATACCTCCTTTGCCCAGTGGTTAGGGATGGGAGAAAAATTCAACCCAGTTTGCATTTAAAGGTGAGTCTGTCAAATTCACACCTTCCAAAACAATATTAGAACCAAAACACACACACCCTTCGAAATGCACACGTATCTGAATTTTGTGGTGCACTTCTCCCCCCCCTCCAAAAAAAGCAGTATTTACAAAAAATGCATATAACAAGGGAAAGTGTGCATAAAAATGAATATATCAGTGAAAATAAGCTACAAAAAGCATTCCATTAGAGGAAATGGCCTTTAAAAATATGCACATCTGTCAAAATTGAATATAGAAAAAAATGACATTTGTGTGGCAAGGCACCCCCCTACTCTTCAGTTCCCCTCCCCCAATACCAAGAATAAGACACATGACATCCAATATTTGGGAGAAATCAGACCACAACTTTATTGATTACAGATGCAAGAGATTTGGCATGGGCATTGGATAGGCCCTACCCCTTCTGGCCCACCTGCCCAAAGAACTTGCATTTTGGGGTCAACCAGAAATGACCTACATCCAGAGGTAATTCCTCCACTGTGTTGCACCTGGAGACTGCTGTGGCACCTCGCCCCCACATGGGGATCTGGATAAAAGCATCAACCCTAGATACCCAATTTCGGATGGGCCAGGCAGATGCTACAACCTACCCTCTGACCAAGACTATGCCTATCCAATGCCTAAACTGCTGAAGTTGCAACAATTGCTATGAGGATGGCGAAAACCAGAGGGATGGAGCCAATTTGCCAACTGGGAAAGTGCTAACCTGGCCCTGAATACACTGAGCAACTATACCATAATAAGGTCAAGGAGAACAACATGTAGCAGCAATATATAAAGGGTGGGAGGGGGAGATCCAATGAAAAGTGGCTGCAGAGAAAGGCAGAGGCTTATGTTATATACAGGAGGAGTGGGCCAAGCCAGCCTGCTTGTGATTTGCTGATTAGGTGAGCAGGTAGGACCAATTTACCCAGGTAGCAAGCTGAGCCCAGAGGCTTCCTTTGCTGTCTGGGAAACAGTCCCTGGGACTTCCCACATCAGATCCCGGAGTGCGGGAGGATGCCACCACGCAATGGTGGCCACCAGAGAGAGTGAGTGGGCTAGTCCAAGCTGCATACAGAATGTGCTTATTATGAGAAATTTACATTAATATGCTGATGAATTCCCACGAGACATTTTTAACATAAAATCAAGTTATGGCTGAAATGTGGGGAGCTGCAATTAAGATTGCAAAAATGGGGGGGGTGAGAGAAGTGAAACTAACAGATTTTTCCATCTCTACTAAAGGTAGACACTTTCACAAATGTTTCAATTGGCCTTTTTGGTCTTGGATGGGGAACTTGCAGCCCTTAAGATGTTGCTAGATTCCAACATCCTTCAATCCCAGACGACTCAGGAATGTAGGAAGCTGCCTTATTCGGAGTCAGGTCATTGATGCATCTAGCTCAGTATTGTCCACACTGTCAGTAGTTCTCCAGGGTTTTAGGCAGTGGACCACACCCAGTCCCACATGGAGATGTCAGGGATTGAATGTGGGACTTCCTGCATGCAAAGCCAGTGCTCTACCACTGAGCTATGGGCCTTCCCAGGTGGCCACACCATCCTAAACTCTCTGCCCTTCCAAGGAAGCCTTAGGGTGGCCAAACATGTGCTGAGAGGAGGCAGCCTCCAGGCCCAGTCACGCCTTTCTTTCTCCCCTCTCAGCTCTCCCAACCTAGCCCCAATGATCAGGAATGATGGGAGTTTCAGTCTAGCAACATGGGGAGGACTACCGCATCCCCACCCTCCCTGCAGGCCTTGCCTGATTCTTGGTGGAGAATTCTTTATAATTTTATTTGTGACCAATGGGTTCAAGGAACACCCTCAGCCAATTAGATCACCCCTTTGATTGTTGTAATTGCTTGAGGAAATTAAGAGCCCATTAGCCAGCTGGCCTGGGGGACACGAACATCATTTGGACAACTAGAAATTCTAGCTCTTCTCCCACAGAAAGTGCAAGCCATCACAGAAGCACTATTCAGATAGAATCCTTATTCCTTCCTAGACACAAATGTCAAGCTAAAGCCATTTATTTATTTTACATATTTACAGCGGTACCTCGGGTTACATACACTTCAGCTTACATACGCTTCAGGTTACAGACTCTGCTAACCCAGAAATAGTACCTCGGGTTAAGAACTTTGCTTCAGGATGCGAACAGAAATCGTGGGGCAGCAGTGGGAGGCCACATTAGCTAAAGTGGTGCTTCAGGTTAAGAATAGTTTCAGGTTAAGAACGGACCTCCGGAACGAATTAAGTACTTAACCTGAGGTACCACTGTATTGCATTTACATCCTATGTCCCCCCCCCCCTTCAAATTGCTCAAGGTAATGTGCATAGCTCTCTCCTTCCTCGTGTAATCCTCACCATAACCATGTGAGGTAGATCAGGCTGAGAAGTAGTGACTGACCCAGTGAGCTTCACAGACAAGTGGGGATTTGAACTCTGGTCTTTCTCAGGTCCTAGTCCGACACTCTAACCACTATACCACACTGGCTGTTGAGACTTTTTATGCCACAAATACTCTGGTTTCTTTCCGACTTGCTTTTGTTGCACTGTAGACTTTCCAGGCAGCAATAATGCGGTACAGCATTGGGGAAGCATCACAGAAGAAACTAAAGCTGAATAAATCCATGACTGATGCCCTGCTGCGAGTTCAGTTCCAGGCCCAATTCAAGGCCTTCTAGGTGTTGCTGGGTCTCTCAGCATCCATTGTTATTTTTAAAAAATGATTATCATTGGTAAATCACAATGCATTTAGAATACAGTGGTACCTCGGGTTACATACGCTTCAGGTTACATACGCTTCAGGGTACATACGCTTCAGGTTACAGACTCCGCTAACCCAGAAATATTACCTCGGGTTAAGAACTTAGCTTCAGAATGAGAACAGAACTCATGCTCTGGCGGCACGGCAGCAGCAGGAGGCCCCATTAGCTAAAGTGGTGGTTCAGGTTAAGAACAGTTTCAGGTTAAGTACGGACCTCCGAAACGAATTAAGTACTTAACCTGAGGTACCACTGTGTCCACAAGATTAGAGACTGTGTGTATGCTGTTATGTCAAGAGCATGTTGTAGAATACACTGTAATAAAACACTAGTTTGTAGGGGCCTTTTATCTCCAGAATTATCTCCACCCTGACCCATTCCCCCAAGTAGCAGAAATTCATCTGGAAGGAAAGTGAGACCATTTCAAGCAAAGTGATTTGCAACAAAACACCAAAACAAACAGGAACTTGTGCAAATTGCATGTAAGCTTTATTGTACTCTAGGTACCTCATCCAAGAAGGAAGCTATAGAGGAGAGGAATATGAAAGCAATTTAGCTCACCTATCAAGGGAAAATATCAAGAAGACTATTCAGCAGCGAAGCTTCTGTTTCTTAATAACAGCTGTGATAAATATTGTACTGATTCCAGCAAAGAGAAGAAGAGATGTTTAGCAAAGGAGGGTGAGAGAGCTGATAGCCTTTGCCAGTTGCAGGCAGGAGATGCACCAGGAAGTCTTCAGCTGATGATACTCCAAATCCATCTGATAAGCGAGCAACTTGGAGGCTGGGTTTTATATCCACAGATGTTCCATTAACAAATCTTGGCTGAACCCAAGCTCTGCTGAAGGGGAATGGCACCGCCCTTGGATTTCACAGGGGCACAGGCGGATTGCAGAGACTGGCAGCAGCCCTTCGCAGGGGCACAGGTGGATTGCAGAGACTGGCAGCAGCCCTTCGCAGGGGCACAGGCGGATTGCAGAGACTGGCAACAAGATTGCATGGAAGGATAGTAGCTTTGGACAGGGATACACTGGGGCGCATAGCATGGCTGGGGTGCCATGGGCATTGGGCAATAAATGATGGTTGCCCCACTTCCACTGCCACCGCAGCAGCCACCACAACAGCCACAACAGCTCATCTTTGTTGAGCGAATGAAAAGCTGGAAGATAAATCAAATCACCTTAGTTAGGTATGGTTACCATAAGAAACAAAAAAGAGACACTTGCTGGTTCAAAATGGGTATCCTTCTGGTCCAGGGATGGTGAACTATTTTTTTTCATTTCAAGGGCCACATTCCCTTCTGAGAAACCTTATGGGGGCCACATGGCAGTAGGCGAAAGGGAAAAGTGGATGGAGCAACACATGTGAATTTTAGCTTTGTGCAGCAGGTTAATTTCTACTCACGCACTCCAACTTTGTCCTCCATGCAAGCAAACAAGGGGCATGATCAGAGTTCAAGGACACATTCTAGCCAGGTAAAAACACTCAAGAAGGATTCAAAATAGGACTGGTGAGGAGTGTGGTGGGAAGATGGGGTGTGGCTGGGAAAAGTCTCCAGGACCAAATGGGGAGATTGGGATCAAGTGGGTTTGGAGGAGAAGGAAGAGGGTGGAATCCACACACCCCTCTCCCCCCAACACATACACACTTTGGTCTCCTAGGAACATATGAAGTTACCTCATTTTGAGTCAGACCATTGATCCATCTAGCTCAGTACTGTCTACGATACTGGCTGGTAGTGTCTCTCTGGGGTTTCTGGCAGAAGGGAATCCCCAATACTTGCTGGAGATGTTGTGAATTGAACCTGGGTCCTTCTGCATGCAAAGCCAGTGCTTTTCCAGTGAGCTATGGCTCTTCAACCAGAGAGAGGGAGGTTTGCAAGGTTTAATCTCTCACCTCCCTAACCTCACCCTTCTTCATTAGAACACAGGAACAGTCCTGCTGGATCAGACCAAGCTCCATCTAGACAAATCATAAAGGTTTCCCATTGGAATTCAGAGCCTGCAAGGAGGGAATGAGGGTAACAGCCTTCCATGCAATCAGTAAATAACCAATGAGAAGTCCACCCAAAGTTGAACATCAATGGAATATTTCCTACCTTAGTTAGCAGAAGCAACCGGTAACGATGAACCCAAGTGGATTGGATGAAGTTCTGCGGGATGGCGGACCTTATTTATACATCTCAAGTCGCCCTTCCTCTAGGAAGTGACACATCATCGAGAAGTTGAAAATTCTTCTTCAACCTCCAAGGCATCATTGTTTCTTCCTGATTATATTTCCTGGCTCAATTCAACTCCCATTAAAAATTATGCTCCTTTAATGGTGCAGATGATGAGACTGGTCATCAGCTAACATTATAATTTTCAAACTAGCCCAGCTAGGATTCTACTAGCTGGAAAAATGGAAAGATGCCAAGATGCCAATGAAAGAAGAATGGCAAGTTAAACTTATGGAATATGCAGAAATGGTGAAACTTACGGGATGACTCGGAGACAATGACAATAGAGACTTTAAAAAAGATTGGGAACCGTTCATGCTGTATTTACAGAAACATTGTAAAGAAATGGACTCACTAGCAGGGTTTGAGTAAACACATACAACTAAGAAAACAAATGTAAAGGTTAAGAAACAATAATTTGGAAATGAATCAAGTGTAAGATGTAATTTGAAAGAAAACATGGTATAAAATGATAAGAATATAAGAGCGTTTAGCTAAAAGATTACAAAATTAAGGAAAAACAAATTAAGGAGAAGTAGCAAATATTTAAAGAACCAGAAGGGGAAGTTGAGGGAAGTCACGGGGTGGAGGTGGCGATTTGGATTTTTGGATTTTTTATTTTATATGATGAATGTGTTGAATATTGAATTGTAAAAACTAATAAAAAAATCTTTTAAAAAAATAATTTTCAAACTAGCCCAAAATTCTGTTACAGAATATCGGAGTGAATGTCTGCTGATGGCTTTTCTCATCGGGATCTCCATAGCTGAATACTACGAAGCTTATGGGTGCCAGCAACATATCTGACAAAGCATAACCTCAAAATCTAGGACAGAATCCATCAAACAGACTCTCTCTTAAATCTGCCATTTGAGTGGATAGCGGGCTTTTTTCCCTATGGCCAGTTGTTTCCCCTATTTATGTGACAGCTTCTAAGGCTTGCAAAAAGTTCACCACCACAGAATTATAGGGTTGTGTAAGAATGCAGATGGGGAAATCTGCTTGTATTCTTCTGATTGTGTTGCCTCCTCTGCATATGCTCATTCAGGAAGAACAACAAAGCACCCTTATTTTCTGATCAGTGAATGACAGACTTTGTTGTTGTTGTTGTTGTTGTTGTTGTTGGCATCTGTCTGTCTTGAGAGACAATACAGTGCACCTCTGGGGGTGAAGTTAATCTGCTGTGCTAGCAGCACCAAAGTGACCTCCCTGGGGTGCAAGCCTGGGCAGTGTGTACTGAGGTCTTGGGATGCCTGGATGACAAGACTCCTCTGTCTGCCTCACTGATGTGGTCCAAAGGAAAGCAGAGCAATACGTTTGGTACCAGCTTGGCTGCAGGAGTTGCTGCAGCAGACAAGGCACCATCCAACCGTCTTAGGGACTCTACTCTGGGTTTGTGCATAGCTGTCAACTTACAGATTTGAAAATAAGGGACCAGCAGCTTCGAAAATAAGGGATCAGCAGCCAAAATAAGGGATTTTCCGAACACAGATATGTTCAACTTCTGCCCCTCTGAGCCAAAGGCAGAAAGCCCAGCTAGCAGCCAAACGAAGCCTC